GAAGTAATGAGACACAATATATAATAGATTTTCAAAGTATTTTGCTGAAAATAGACGTCCAAATGGGTGGGAGTTCATTTGATCTAATGTTTATTTATGTTTACAAGTTCAATTCTCATAGAATGCGAATTATGCTGATTAATGAATACATGTTTATCAAAGATTTTTAGCATATTACAAGAAGAGACGTTCTTTATGTAATATGTGATAAGGGTAAAGTTGTAGTGTGAAAGTGATGCAAATAGAACTCATGTTTCTGTAACAAAGTTAACTTTAGTTTTGATAGGAAATTTGCAACACTCAAATTTTATAGGACCTCTTAATCTTTTGAGACAAATTTCATGTATTTAGATCGGAACTCAAGTTTATAAGAACTCATGTATGTAAATATTATTTTAACATTTCAAACTGATCCTATCAATGACTTAAAGATTTTAACAATCTTATACAAACACTTGAAACATTTGAATTCATTCCTCATAATATAGGCGTATTTTTGTTAAGCACTAAAACTTTTCAAACACTTGATAAACAGCTATCTTTTCATTGTTGAAGATAGAAATTGTTGAGTTGCGTAACTTAGTCGTTTGGACTCATTGTTTGACCCGATATTGAGATGAGCATCAGGTACGTGGGGTTGAAAGAGTAGCAAACCCTCCCTCGCCATTATTATAGTTCAAGGTTTTTGCAGTGTTGCACAAAAAAGGGGTTTCATTAAGAGCATTTGAGATATCTAAGCCTTTATTCATTTATCTTACATTTCATTTTCTGTCTTATTTGTTGTTTTTGTTGATATATCTATTGATGTATAGTGAAAAAAAGTTGTAACTCTTGAATTATGATCAATTGATCATAGTGAAATTTGTAACAATGGGAATTGGATTTGTCTTTCACATTGAGGGTGAACCACAATAATTTTGTGATTTTTTAACACTTTATTTTATTAAAATTGATTTAAAATAGATTACATTAGTGAAGAAGAAGTTCAAAATATGAAATACAAAGAGAAACTAATGGTTATTGCCGCATCGCAAATTAAGTGAGGATAATAATTGTTGACGAAACACTAACGATACCAAGACAATTAGGTGTTTCCGAATTCACAATAGTAGCCGGACTTCCAAAATCCATTACGATAACATGATAAAAATTCTCTAAATTTAAATAAACCTCCTTCTTTGATTGCCTTTTATCAATTTGGTTCCGAGTTAGTTTCACCGAAGTCGTCGTTGAACAAGTTTGAACTTTAAATAAAATAGATAACCAAAATTGACTAGAAACTAAACATAAATCTTATACGAGGGAAAAAACCTCAACTAAAATATTCACTCGAAAAAACTAAACCCAATCGAGGGAATCACAAGAAATCATAAACTCCAGACAGCAAATAATATCGTATCGTCTTCTAACCAAAAACTTCATGATATCCTCTCTAGACTTCATGTATAGAAACTATTAGTTTACAACCCTCTCCCTCTTACGATGCAGGTAAAAGCACTGGACATCAAAGAGGAAAATAATTTTGTGATTAGTTTTTAGTTTCTTACAATCATTCAGTTTTTAAATCAGAGTAGGAATTAATTCCGAACAATTACATGCGAGAATCACTCTTTCAGGTTACCTCACAAGTGCTTCTTCAGTAAATTCATTAACAAGAAAAAAAGCTCAAAAGAAAATTGATCTCTCTTTGAAGCCATACAAATTGGGGTTCTAAAAATTTATTGTAACAAGAACATGCATATCTATCTATATCTAAAGGATAAAATATAATGAGCCCTATCGTCGACCTTAATTTATAAAGTAACTCACCATTTTTTACTTTGAAATCAAATATTATGAAGAATTCGATTTATAATCCTACTAAACAATGCACGTCTCCAAATATCTAAGCAAGAAAAACAAAATGTATATATATTGTCTATCTTTATATAAGATGTAGATGCCAAAATTATCTTGCAATAAAGCACAATCGAGAAAATGAAGAAGATGGGGTTGCTATCAAACAACAAAGCAGCGCCCACGTGAAGGGGTAACCAAATAGACCTTAGACTTGGTCCCTTCGTTTTCTCTTCCCACTTTTATCACCACTTTTTTCATTACCCTTAATCACTGTCACTCCGCCTTAACCTTATCCCATACCCACCACATTTATTAAGCTTTTTATATTGACAACAAATCACTTCTTTTGTATCAGTAGGATTACAGAATTTTATCCAAAAAAAATAGGACTACAGAATTTCAACTACAAACTTTACGAGCATCGAAATTCGTCTAACAATTACTTGTACGATTCTTGTATACTAAGTTGAACTCTATGATATGACCCTCTAAATTTATATATGTTGGATGTAAAGACCAGCTAATCCAAAGTATAAACCAAAGTATGCTGAGTTAGTAGCGAAATAAGAACATAATCGATTGTCTTACTATACTTCATCCCCCAAATCAAACTATTATTTTCTTTTGTTATTTCTAATCTACATCAATAATTAGACAGTAAATCCTACTATATTGAGAATACACAAATTACCAAATTTAACAAATTCA